TAATATGCCCTCCAGCTGATGCGAACTTTGTATTAAGGTGTTTTGCACCTTCAGAGTATTAATCATGTTGCGTTGATCAGTAATCAGAAAGTCTGTTTGAACAAAATGGGGGTGAATTCTTCTTTCCTGCACTGCAGAGCGACCACACCTCTTCCACTGTTAATGTTCACAGTAACAAACGTTTATGAGCGCACTTTGACCCCGTCTTCATTTGAGTCGACACGCACACTTCAGGTACGAGTTACTTTTCTACTTTAACTTCTACTTGTCAGATGTTTCCATTAAAGTGTATTAATGATTGTGCACATTGTCATTACATTCATGAATGATTTAAGACGTTCAGCCTGGACTCGTCTGTGGTGGAGGTCGTAGTAACACCTCCGCCTTCGCTCCTGATAACTCAGTTACACCCCCACCTCCCTCCACCAACCCCCCAGGGACCGTTAGAGCAGAGGACAAAGACGCTTTTCAGGTAACATTTAGAATCTGACGTTAAAGAGCTGTTTTCTCTGCTACTTTCTCTTAATCCGCTCGCTGTGAACTTGTGGGAGGTGAAAAGCGCTGATGCTAAGCTAACAGATTATGAAGGAAGGAGGTGGAGCCTCGCTGAAGGGCTGTTGGAACGTCAGCTTTTGTCTTCTCGTCCTTTTGTCAGAAATGTTACTTTTCAAATTTAGTTGTTAAAGGTTCCAGTTTAAGATGATGTTGCTGCAGAAATATTAAAATACTAATTATGCAGCTAAATAGTGAATGTTGTAAACAACATAAAACCTCCGTTTTGTTTTATATGAAATGTGTCTGAATCTTCAGGACTCCAGGATGACTCACTATGAGGACGGACTTGCTGTCGCCTTCCTTCTACTAACACACTTCATTGGAGGTTAGTCACACACACACACACACACACACACACACCCACACACACACACATCATGAGTGTGTAGCCTGTAGCTTGGGGGCTCATCTACCTCTGTCAGTCATGGACATGACGTGTGTGCGTGTCCCCTGGTCAGGCTTCTGTTCATGTGTTGAATTACACGCTACATATTAACACGTCATCCTTCAGCGTGATGGATTAACTGGTGTCAAAGACCTTTAGATGGAAATATGGATTCCAATGATCTGAACCGTCTCCCAGGTGGTTCTCTGCCAATCGATCCACCTCAGCTGGTCACGGCGATGGTCGGTGATGACGTCGTTCTGCCCTGTCTGCTGGACCCCCCCCCGGATGCTGTTTCCATGACGATGGAGTGGGGGCGAGCGGACATGAAGCCCAGATTCGTCCTCGTGTGGCACGACGGAAAGGAGCTGCTGACTGGCCAGAACGAGGCCTTCAAGGGCAGAACTTCACTGTCCATCAGCGGGCTGAAGCGTGGGGACGTCTCTCTGAAGCTTTCCTCCGTGAAGGTGTCTGACAGCGGGACGTACCGGTGCTACCTCCAGAAACCCAACCAGGAGCATCTGGTCCAGCTGCTTGTAGGTGGGTGGACTGAGGACATGTCTCAAATACACAACTTGTATCCCTCAATATGGTCTTCATACTGCTCCAGACTTTAGGGGCTGAACCTTTAAGTCTTCATTTACTGGACGCTCCCGTAAACATCACAATGTGGTTAAAATACATGAAAAAATATGAACTTTTTGTTCAACAAAACTTCACGTTTGACCTAAAATAAGTGAGTTCCCTCCATGAAGCCCCTCCAGTGAGACAGGATGACGGGGGGATCATTGCTTCACCTTCTGGACCAACAACCTGTGTTTGATGAGATCAGGTGCGGCCTCGTCTCCTGCCATCAGCCTAGCAGGCCTCCACCTGGCCAGCAGCGCAGTGCTTCTTCACTGTGAGTCCAGAGGCTGGTACCCGGAGCCGGAGCTGCTGTGGCTGGACGCTGAGGGGAAGCTGCTCTCTGCTGGACTTCCAGAGACCCTCAGAGGTCCTGATGACCTCTATAGTGTCAGCAGCAGCGTGACGGTGGAGAAGAGACACAGAAACAGCTTCACCTGTAGAGTCCAGCAGAGGAACATCAACCAGACCAGAGAGACTCTCATCACGGTTCCAGGTAGAAGAGTTTCTAGAAGAACAACCATCAGATTCCTGCTGATGAAACGTTCATGTTGAGTAAATGTTCTTCTCTTGATGTTCCAGAGGACTTCTTTGTGGCTCCTGCTGTTTGCACTCCTTGTGTTGCCTTCAGTGTGGTGTTTGCCTTCCTGTTTGTCATCATCGTTGTTGTCCTTCTGGTCTGGAGACGGAGACACAAGATAACAGGTGAGTCAAATATGAATTCATCTCAAATGTAAAATGAATCACTGAACATTCCTCTTATTTTGAAATATTCATCATTATTTTAAATAAGACTCTCAGCAGAACTCTGGGATGTGGTTTCACAGCTTTCTGTGTGATAATAAGTCCTTCATGGTCCTGCTTGTGTTCCTCACAGACACAAAGACACAGCAGTCTCTGATGGAGGAGGAGAGAAGAAGAGAAGATCTCAAGAAGAAAGAGGAAGAACAGAAGGATTTAATACAGATTATTGATTTACTGACAGAACAGAACAATGAACTGATAGAACAGAGAGATAAGGTTGGTGAGCAAATGAAGAAGCTACAGAAACAAGAAGAGGAAAATGAGGAGAAGGTTGATTTAGTGGAGAAAGATGAAAGAGAGAAGGAGGGAGAGAACAAAGGTCATGGACTCCTCAAAATGAGAAGAATCATAACAGAGAACAACTGGAAACTGCAGGAGAGGAAAGAAGAACTTCAACTACTGAGTGTGAACTTAGATAAAATATCACAGAAATGTATGAACGACTTAAAGAGACTCACAGAGAAGAAGAAGAATCTAGATATCGATGTGGAGAAAATAAAGAAACAGCTGGAGGAGATACAGGGAGCGCAGTGAGAAGGAGGAGGGAGGAGGAAGGATGGGGGAGAGAGGAGGGATGAGGGAGGAGAAAGGGGGGAGGAAGGATGAGGGAGGAAGGATGATGGAGGAGAAAGGAAGGAGGACAGATGAGGGAGGAGAAAGGAGGGAGGAAGGATGATGGAGGAGAAAGGGGGGAGGACGGATGGGGGAGGAGAATGGAGGGAGGAAGGATGGGGCGGAGAAAGGGGGGAGGACGGATGGGGGAGGAGAATGGAGGGAGGAAGGATGGGGCGGAGAAAGGAGGGAGAAAGGAGGGAGGAGGAAAGGGCAGGGATGAGAAGGAGGAGGGATGACATAGGAGAAAGAAGGGAGAAGAAAGGAAGATTAAGGGAGGACAGTGGAGGGAGGAAGAATGAGGGAGGAGAAACAAGGGAGGACGGATGAGGGAGGAATCACATGACACACAGTCAGTTTCCTTCATCCAAAAATCTCACCTGATCTTCTTTAACTTCACTTGATAACTTCTAATTTGTTAGTTCAGAGGAGGTAGAAGTACACAGAGAGCAGTACTACATGTACAAGGTGGTAGTAGTAGTAGTAGTACTAGCAGTAGTAGTAGCAGTAACAGTAGTAGTAATAGTAGTAGTAGAAGTAGCAGTAGTAGTAGTAGTAGTAGTAGTACTAGCAGTAGCAGCAGTAGTAGTAGTAGTAGTAGCAGTAGCAGTAGTAGTAGTAGTAGCAGTAGTAATAGCAGTAGCAGTAGTAGTAGTAGTAGTAGTACTAGCAGTAGTAGTAGTAGTTGTTGCAGTAGTAGTATAGTAGTAGTAGTAGTACTAGCAGTAGTAGTAGTAGTAGTTGTTGCAGTAGTAGTATAGTAGTAGCAGTAGCAGTAGTAGTAATAGTAGTAGTTGTAGTACTAGTGTGCGTTCATGTGTTCATCACAAAGTGGAGGTAAAATGCAGATAATGAAACTAGTGAAGAAGAGGAGAACGTGAGAAGATGAGCTGGACCTCGTTCCTCCTGATTGTTTCAGTCAAGTTGTCACATGTCATTTCCTTTCATACCAAAGTGTGTCTTGTTATGAATGTGTTGTGGATGTATAATTACTTCATGAGGAACTTCCTGTCCAGACTTCACACACCTGCGCTCTTATTTTGTAGAAGTGTGTAAATGTAATTGAGTCGTTTTTCAGATCCAAATAAACCTGAAATGATCCACTGATCCGTCCATCCATCGTCCACGTTGTTGACTTTCAACATGTTGATTGTTGTCGTCATAAACACACAAAGGTAAACACGTAATGTTTGATGACTCTACGGCCTTTAAGGTCACATGACCTCAGGAGGTCCTCCAGCATCTGCTGCAGATGTTAGCATTGTGTAGTTCTAGATGTGATGTGAATATTCTGACAGCTTTCAGGTTAAACGTTATTCAGGCTTCTAGTCTGAAGGATGTGGGAGCAGGTTAAAGGTTAAAGGTCAAGTCGGATTCTGTGTCTCTGTGTCCTGTATGAATTAATACGTCTGCGCTGTGGAGTCAGAACTCACGTCTACTTTTAGCAGCTCAGCTGCTTCGTCCTGGTTTAAAGGATTTTATCAAGAACAAAATCAGTTTATTTTAGAAACAAACAAACTTTATCAGGTTACATTACAGTTGTTTGGCTTGACGTATTAGAAAATGTGAGTATTTTACAATAATTGTGAATGTTTATAAATTCTCTAAAAGTAAAACACATTATGAAATGTATATCATGAAAAATACAAAACTAAGTGTATTCTCACACTCATTTCCAAGAATAAAGAAAAGGATATTTTATACAGAATATATTGGAAAAAGGTAATTATGCAACACGATGTATATAAAATAAGGTCGTTGATTAACAAAGTTACTTTATGACCAGTAGTTCAACGTGGTCACATGGTTCATGGTGTGGTCACATGGTTCATGGTGTGGTCACATGGTTCATCGTGTGGTCACATGGTTCATGGCGTGGTCACATGGTTCATTGCATGGTCACATGGTTTCATGGTGTGGTCACATGGTTTCATGGTGTGGTCACATGGTTCATCGCGTGGTCACATGGTTTGTGTAGTAAGCAGTCCAAGGATCACACTGATGTCTTTGAGGTTTCTTCCTCTTCTCTCTGTGACTCAAGTGGACTCTGAATCTCTTTTGTCTTTCTTTCAGTCTTCTGGAGTTTGCTTCTTATTTTCTCCTGATCTCTCAGGATTCTGCCCGTCCTTTCTGTCATCTTAATAATCATCTCCTCTGTAGAATCCTGCAGCTCCTGTGTGCTCTGTAACAGTTTCATGTGTTCGTTCTCCCTCTTCTCAAGATTCTCTAGTTTGCATTTGTTCTTCTTCTTCTTCTTCTTCTTCTTCTTCTTGAACTCTTGAATCTGTGTCTGGTTCTCGTGCTGTTGTGAGATGAGCACCTCTCTCTGCTTCCTCAGATCTTTCGTCTGGTCCATCAGAGTTTTCACCACATGTTGTAGAAGTTCTAATTCTGCACTATTTTCCTTCAAGTCCTCTTCAAATGTTTCCTCACTGCAGGTCATGTTCTTCTCTGTGTCTCTTCCTCCCTCCGTCAGAGGCTGAAGTTCTGGTTCTGGTCTGCTGCTCGTGGTCTCTGTGTGAATATGAGACGTGTTCAGACTGTTTGAGCTTAGAGAAGCTTTTAAGGGGACGAGACGGTGAAGCAAAGCACGAAGCGCATTCATTGTGAAGTATATATATATAAATATATATATGCAGGATTTATTCAAATAATAAAAGGTTTTAGTACCAAGAAATTAAGTTCACACTTACTGGTTTCTTCTTTTCCACATCTCCACACAACAGCGACAACCGCCACAACCCCCACGATGCAAACAGCAGAGAAGATGGTGATGCGGACGGCAGAACTGGTTTCTACCTTGAAGAGATCAGCTGGAAATCAAAATCACATGAAGGGTTATTAGCAGTGAGAAGAAACGCTGACTGGAAGTGAAAAGTCTTCTACCTGGAACCGTGATGAGAGTCTCTCTGGTCTGGTTGATGTTCCTCTGCTGGACTCTACAGGTGAAGCTGTTTCTGTGTCTCTTCTCCACCGTCACGCTCCTACTGACACTATAGAGGTCATCAGGACCTCTGAGGGTCTCTGGAGGTCCAGCAGAGAGCAGCTTCCCCTCAGCGTCCAGCCACAGCAGCTCCGGCTCCGGGTACCAGCCTCTGGACTCACAGTGAAGAAGCACTGCGCTGCCGACTTTGGAAATCACTACGTTAGGTGAGGAGACAGAACCTAACAGAAGAAAGACCAACAACGGTTTGAATCAAAGGTTCCACAAGAATATACATCTGTATTTATTCATTTCCTGCGTTACCTGCCGTCAGCCTGACCACTGATTCTGGACCCGAGTCGGGAACAAAGCATTTGTAGGTTCTTGCATCAGTGAGTTTCACTCTGGAGAGTTTCATGGAAACGTCCCCACACCTGAGATTGTTGGTGGCCAGTGAGGTTCTCCCCACATACGAAGGGTTCTCCTCATGCCGAAGCCGCACGCGGTCTCTCCTCAGAAGGACGTATCTGGGCTGCAGGTCCGGTCTGGCCCACTCCACCGTGAGGCCGCTGGCATCCACGGCCGGCTCCAGGTGACATGGAAGAACTGTGTCCTCACCAACCGTTGCCACCACTGAGAGAGATGTCGCGCTCTCCTGAGGCTGACCTGAGGAACCGACACTCGGATCAGAACAACACCAGCGTGTGAAACACTTGGTGTGTGAGTGTAACTGAACAGAGACACAACCAGAGGAACACCGCTGTCTGCTTGTCCTTCTCTGGCCTCACATGACCAGTATGTTGCAGCATGACCGCTGGTCATACGTGTGAGGTGAGCTGTCATTCTTCACTTTACCTCCACATGGGTGTATCAGAAGAACAAGTGCAAGTGCACTGAAGCCTCTGAGCTGTTTTCAGACGCCTCTGACCTTCACGCGAACCATCCTGGAGGTGTGGAACCATAAAACCTGTGAAAGTCGGTCTGAAGTCACAGAAGAGCGCTGCATCTCCTTCTTCACCTGCACCTCTCACTGGACCTGGTCTTCTCCCTGGGCCCCTTGCTCTTCCTCGTCCAGACATTACAGTGTTTGTCTTTTTCTGTTTCTGTTTCCAACAGCCTCACTCCTCAAAGTCCTCCTTAAATAAGCCAGACTGGAATCAGCTGTTGTTGATTTATCAACATAAATCAGCTGTCAATTATTCAATAGTTTGTTCATTATCAGCTGAGATGTATTGTTTTTGAACTGATATCATTGCAGAAGCAGACGTTTTTATACTGTATCAACGGTTTGGAATATTGTTTTTGCTATTGTGGGATGGTGTGTGTTAACATTTGTGAATACTACTAAAACAATCCATCGTTTTGTTGGGAGGTTTGACTTGTCTGTTAAGATAAATGTAAGCATTGTGGACATGTGTTCACTGACTGCATATTGTGTGAAAACGACGTGAAATGTGTGAATTGTTTGGCCACAGAACACCGATGCTGTGCTAATTGTGTTTAGAGTTTTGAAAATGTGACAAATGTTTGGACAAACGCTTGTTAGCGATTGAAAAAAACTGTACGGTGTTTTGCACCTTCAGAGTATTAATCATGTTGCGTTGATCAGAAACAGAAAGTCTGTTTGAACAAAATGGGGGTGAATTCTTCTTTCCTGCACTGCAGAGCGACCACACCTCTTCCACTGTTAATGTTCACAGTAACAAACGTTTATGAGCGCACTTTGACCCCGTCTTCATTTGAGTCGACACGCACACTTCAGGTACGAGTGACTTTTCTACTTTAACTTCTACTTGTAAGATGTTTCCATTAAAGTGTATTAATTATTGTGCACATTGTCATTACATTCATGAATGATTTAAGACGTTCAGCCTGGACTCGTCTGTGGTGGAGGTCGTAGTAACACCTCCGCCTTCGCTCCTGATAACTCAGTTACACCCCCACCTCCCTCCACCAACCCCCCAGGGACCGTTAGAGCAGAGGACAAAGACACTTTTCAGGTAACATTTAGAATCTGACATTAAAGAGCTGTTTTCTCTGCTACTTTCTCTTAATCCGCTCGGTGTGAACTTGTGGGAGGTGAAAAGCGTTGATGCTAAGCTAACAGATTATGAAGGAAGGAGGTGGAGCCTCGCTGAAGGGCTGTTGGAACGTCAGCTTTTGTCTTCTCGTGCTTTTGTCAGAAATGTTACTTTTCAAATTTAGTTGTTAGAGGTTCCAGTTTAAGATGATGTTGCTGCAGAAATATTAAAATACTAATTATGCAGCTAAATAGAGAATGTTGTAAACAACATAAAACCTGCGTTTTGTTTTATATGAAAAGTGTCTGAATCTTCAGGACTCCAGGATGACTCACTATGAGGACGGACTTGCTGTCGCCTTCCTTCTCCTAACACACTTCATTGGAGGTAAGTCACACACACACACACACACACACACACACACACACAATGAGTGTGTAGCCTGTAACATGACGTGTGTGCGTGTCCCCTGGTCAGGCTTCTGTTCATGTGTTGAATTACACGCTACATATTAACACGCCATCCTTCAGCGTGTTGGACCAGTTGGTGTCAAAGACCTTTAGATGGAAATATGGATTCCAATGATCTGAACCGTCTCCCAGGTGGTTCTCTGCCAATCGATCCACCTCAGCTGGTCATGGCGATGGTCGGTGATGACGTCGTTCTGCCCTGTCTGCTGGACCCCCCCGCGGATGCTGTTTCCATGACGATGGAGTGGGGGCGAGCGGACATGAAGCCCAGATTCGTCCTCGTGTGGCACGATGGAAAGGAGCTGCTGACTGGCCAGAACGAGGCCTTCAAGGGCAGAACCTCACTGTCCATCAGCGGGCTGAAGCGTGGAGACGTCTCTCTGATGCTTTCCTCCGTGAAGGTGTCTGACAGCGGGACGTACCGGTGCTACCTCCAGAAACCCAACCAGGAGCATCTGGTCCAGCTGCTTGTAGGTGGGTGGACTGAGGACATGTCTCACATTCACAACTTGTATCCCTAAATATGGTCTTCATACTGCTCCAGACTTTAGGGGCTGAACCTTTAAGTCTTCATTTACTGGACGCTCCCGTAAACATCACAATGTGGTTAAAATACATGAAAAAATATGAACTTTTTGTTCAACAAAACCTCATGTTTGACCTAAAATAAGTGAGTTCCCTCCATGAAGCCCCTCCAGTGAGACAGGATGACGGGGGGATCATTGCTTCACCTTCTGGACCAACAACCTGTGTTTGATGAGATCAGGTGCGGCCTCGTCTCCTGCCATCAGCCTAGCAGGCCTCCACCTGGCCAGCAGCGCAGTGCTTCTTCACTGTGAGTCCAGAGGCTGGTACCCGGAGCCGGAGCTGCTGTGGCTGGACGCTGAGGGGAAGCTGCTCTCTGCTGGACCTCCAGAGGCCCTCAGAGGTCCTGATGACCTCTATAGTGTCAGCAGCAGTGTGACGGTGGAGAAGAGACACAGAAACAGCTTCACCTGTAGAGTCCAGCAGAGGAACATCAACCAGACCAGAGAGACTCTCATCACGGTTCCAGGTAGAAGACTTTCTAGAACAGGGGTCTCAAACTCAATTTACCTAGGGGCCGCTGGAGGTATAGTCTGGGTGAGGCTGGGCCGCATCATGTATTCCACAAAAAAAAGGCTTCAAGTATTAAAAAAAAAGGTCAACTGAACCAATCTTCTCAATCTTAACAAGTCAGAACATGCAGAACATGAACAGTTCTTCAGAACATAGGCTTCATTTACTTCCTTCTAATCCTTGCTGCCAGAGACTTGGCAGCGCTTCCTCTCACACAGCTGAGCCACATTTGGCTTGAGGGAGGAGGCAACTGAGACCCTCAGTATGGCTTTAAGGTGCTCATCATCTTTAAGTCTGGACCTGAACTTTGACTTATTGAAGTTCATTGTGGAGAAGAGCTTTTCACACAGATAGGTGCTGCCAAAAAGGCACATGGTCCGCTTGAACATCCTGGAAAGCTCAGGGAAGGTGGGGGGCAGTTTTCTCAAAAATTGTCCAAGCTCCACTGTTTTTCCACTCACCTCCCTGAACTTTGCTTTGAGGTCAGTATTGCACTGCAGGTCAATCAGCTCCATCTGCAGGACAGGGGGGGCATCCTCCACATCAAAGGAGAAGGGGTCAGCAAAAATCTGAAAAGTGGCTCTGTGTGTCTTGAAGTCCGCAAACCTCTGATCAAATTCTTCCTGTAGCTTTCCAATGGTATCAGCATACTTCTCACCACTGAATGTTGTGCCTGAATCCATGAGTGCCTTGCATGCTGGGAAATGGCAGAGGTTTGTCTGGAAAAGCTGGGCTTTCCATAACACAAGTTTTTTGGAGAATGCTCTGACATTGTCATATGCAACACTGACAAGCTGGTCCTGACCTTGTAACTTCTTGTTCAGTACATTCAGCTCCTGTGTGACGTCAACAAGAAAAGCTAAGTCCATTAGACATTTAGGATCATTTAGCACAGGAACAGTCATCCCATCCTTCTCCATGAAGGCTTTCACTTCTGCTCTTAACTCAAAAAACCTCTTCAAGACCTTCCCCCTGCTGAGCCAACGTACCTCGGTGAAGTAGAGCACGTCCTCGTATTCTGACTCTATTTCCGCCAAAAAGTCGCGGAACTGCCGATGCTTTAAAGCCCTGGATCTGATATGGTTGATGATTTTCACAACGTCAGACATCACATTGTCAAACCTCATGATCTTGCTGCAAAGGGCCTGCTGGTGGATAATGCAGTGCAGAGCAATGGCATCTTCCACACCCTCCTCTTCCAGTTTCCTTTGAACAAGCGCCACAAGTCCGTTTTTCCTCCCTGTCATTGACGGCGCTCCGTCGGTCGTTATTCCAGCCAAACCCTTCCATTGTAAGCCGGCATCCTCAATGGAATCACACAGCTAGCGGAATATCTCCTGGGCAGTGGTCTGGCCATGCATTGCAATCACTGAGAGCAACTCCTCCGTAACTTCAAAATTGTTATCAACGCCACGGACATATATTGCGAGCTGCGCCGTGTCAGTGACGTCTGTGCTCTCATCAAGAGCAAGTGAGTATGAATGGAAATGTTTAGCTTTCTCACGCAGTTGATCATAAATGTTGCCTGACATGTCAGAAATGCGCTCTGCCACTGTGTTGGCTGAAATGCTGATGTTACTAAACTGAGCCTTTTTTTCCGGGCAGACTATACTTGCAGCCTGTAACATGCACTGTTTGATGAACTCGCCGTCTTTGAATGGCTTCCCTGCTTTAGCAATCATCTCACTCACCACGTAGCTGGCTTTGATAGCCGCTTCACTCTCTTTGCTTGCTTTTTTGAAAAAATCTTGTTGCCTCAGTAGACATGTTTTAAGTTTGGCGACCCGGTCCTCTCGCTCATCTCCCAGGTATTTTCCATACTCCTCAGCATGTTTAGTTGAGTAATGACATCTGATGTTATACTCCTTGTGCACCGCAACTTTATCCATGCATATTAGACACGTTGGGATGTCCCTGTGCTCAACAAAAAAATATTCCGTCTCCCACTTCTCCTGAAATTGTCTGTGCTCATCGCCAATTTTTCTCTTCACGGCAGGTTTTGAAAAAGACATGACTGGGGCTGACAAAAACCGTATAGCACTAGGTGACAAGATATATTTTCCCTCCACTTGTTCATCCAAACATGTTAAAGTGACCAATTGCTAATTCGCGCTGTTGTCACGAGCCTGAGCTACCGCCCGTAGCTCAGCGGTAGCTCCGCGGTAGCTCAGGCTGTCAGAGGGTCTGCCTCTCTAGTGCGCGGGCCGCACTAACACAAAGATTTAATTTCAGGCAGGGGGCCACAAAACATTGTCCTGCGGGCCGCAATTGGCCCGCGGGCCGCGAGTCTGAGACCCCTGTTCTAGAAGAACAACCGTCAGATTCCTGCTGATGAAACATACATGTTGAGTAAATGTTCTTCTCTTGATGTTCCAGAGGACTTCTTTGTGGCTCCTGCTGTTTGCACTCCTGCTGTTTGCACTCCTTGTGTTGCCTTCGGTGTGGTGTTTGCCTTCCTGTTTGTCATCATCGTTGTTGTCCTTCTGGTCTGGAGATGGAGACACAAGATAACAGGTGAGTCAAATATGAATTCATCTCAAATGTAAAATGAATCACTGAACATTTCTCTTATTTTTCTTATTTTGAAATATTCATCATTATTGTAAATCATTTCTGGCCTCTCAGCAGAACTCTGTGATGTGGTTTCACAGCTTTCTGTGTGATAATAAGTCCTTCATGGTCCTGCTTGTGTTCCTCACAGACACAAAGACACAGCAGTCTCTGATGGAGGAGGAGAGAAGAAGAGAAGATCTCAAGAAGAAAGAGGAAGAACAGAAGGTTTTAATACATATTATTCATTTACTGACAGAACAGAACAATGAACTGATAGAACAGAAAGAAAATGTCCCGGTGTCGTTCACTTCCTGTTGTATTTTGTAGTTTTCTGCCACTCGTGTCCCCGGGTAACTTCACTTCCTGCCTTGTCCCGTCATCCCCTGTGATCGTCTAATAGTTTCCACCTGTGTCCAATCACCTGCACCTCCCTTGTGTATTTAAGCCGTGTGTCTCTTGTGTCACTTGTCGCGTCATTGTCTTTCGCCACGCATGTCCGTGTCCCTTGTTGTGGGTATCTGTAAGTTGCATGCCTGTGTGTTTTTGCCCCTTGGCCTTTTGGATTTTTGACCTTCGACTATTAAAGTCCTTTTGTTCCTGCAAGTCTGCATTTTGAGTCCTGCCTTCCACCCGCACCCGTGACAGAAAAGGTTGATGAGCAAATGAAGAAGCTACAGAAACAAGAAGAGGAAAATGAGGAAAAGGTTGATTTAGTGGAGAAAGATGAAAGAGAGAAGGAGGGAGAGAAGACAGAGGGCAAAGGTCATGGACTCCTCAAAATGAGAAGAATCATAACAGAGAACAACTGGAAACTGCAGGAGAGGAAAGAAGAACTTCAACAACTGAGTGTGAACTTAGATAAAATATCAAAGAAATCTATAGACGACTTAAATAGACTCACTGAGAAGAAGAAGAATCTAGATATCGATGTGGAGAAAATAAAGAAACAGCTGGAGGAGATACAGAGAGCGCAGTGCCTTCTCCTAGCATGTTTTAATCGGGAGGAGGGAGGAGAAAGGAGGGAGGACAGGTGAGGGAGCAGGAAGGAGGGAGGAAGGATGGGGAGGAGAAAGGGGGGAGGAAGGATGATGGAGGAGAAAGGGGGGAGGACGGATTGGGGGAGGAGAATGGAGGGAGGAAGGATGGGGGAGGAGAAAGAAGGGAGGAATGAGGAAGGATTGAGGAGAAAGAAGGGAGGAGA